AAAATGTTTCTATCAACCATAATAAGGCAAATCATGCAGAAAGCTTCAAAATCATTATTTCATAAACGGCAGACAAGTTTTAAATAGACTTTTGACTCTCACTCTGTTTTCATGAATCTCTTCCAAATACCTTTTGGTTAAGTGTTCTGGTATTATTCACTAGACATTTTCTTTAGAAATCAAGTAAAGCCACGGTGGTGCAGTGGTTAGAATGCAGTACTGGAGGCTGCTTTTGACTGCAATTTGGCAGATCGAATCTCACCAGGCTCAAGGCTGACTCAGCCTTCCATCCTTCCGAGGTTGGTAAAATGAGGACCCAGATTGTTGGGGGCAATATGCTGACTCTAGAGCGGGCTGTAAAGCACTGTGAAGCGGGTATATAAATCTAAGGGCTATTGCTAAATACTGTAATTGACATGCTTGCACATTGGTTTTATTGAATATTGTTTTTTACATCTCGTCTGTGGATTATGTTCTTTGGTTTTTTATATTGCTTTATGATTTTTAATATGTTTTAATACTGTATTTTGCAGTATTACTGTATTTTCGTATTGCTTTTAATTGTTGTAAACTGCCCAGAATTCATGCCTTTCAGGTAGGCAACGAAATAAATAAAAAACCTTATTTTGTTTCAGGCTTTAAACTCACATTAACAAGTGCACTAAAAAGTCTGGATTGGTAATTGATAAACATTTTATTAAATATTACTGAAGAACATCATAAAAAGGAAAATTGGAGAACTGACAAGAGATGAACAATTTTACACTTCATTCATCACTAAGTCACATATTTGCACTAACATTTTATTTGCCCCCCTTCCTAAAGGTTCTCTGCTATACATTGTCAAAGAACTCTAGCAAATAACTAATGTTCCTCATGACCTGAACATAATGTTAAGTGAAAAAAGTAATGGTCAATGTGAATTATGTCATGGCAGATCTAAGGAACAATAGTTCTTCTAATTTTCCTTAACAAGTTATTTAACAATCTCATTTAATAAGATTACTCATAAAACCCATAGCAAGAAACTCTATAATCTTTCTCTAAAAACAGGTATGTGACATTGATTCATATCCTGCTGGTCCTGAACCAGGAGAGAGAGGTTTTAATACCTCTGAATGCAAAGGAAAGCATTGTAAATCAGATTAACAACAACATAAAATGTATCTACTCAAGTTTAATTTCTTTCTAAAATAATTAACCATTTCAGATCCAGCATCAGTCTCTCTTTAGCAAAACTCCCTTCCGATATCTAAAGTTACTTCCATGTAGTCTACTGTTTTCAAGCTCAAAGCCTAACTATGGTGTAAAAGGCTGGTGATGGGAAATCCTTAGCAAATATCCTGCAATTAGAAACCCCCACTTTTGAGATTAGACTAAATACTAAATACTAAATACTACTTTATCCACACAGCACAAGTTTATTAATATGGCATTATTCTACAATGTATATAAATACACATATCCAAATTCATGAAAGTTAAGAAATTATGCCTACAATACAAATTAGCAGTGTTGAAGGAGCCACTGGGTCCTTCCCAGTGCTGGGTTGCTGTGGAAATCAGGAAGGAGAAACAGGTTTGGGCATGCCCAGCAATACTTCATGCTGTTAACGGAGGACAGAAAAATAGTACTGTAACACTGAAAACTCAGGGACAGTGTAAAGAATAATTCTTATTTTGGTACTTGGTAGAACTCAGTATTGTAAAATATAACACAAAAATTTGAATAAAAGTAGTTCTTTTCATGTCCTGGATCACATAGAAAGTATAATACTAGTATAATTGTTGGCAAATCACCAAGAGAAATAGGAATTTAAAAAAATGAAAACACTGCTATAAAAGAATTCCTACCACACATTCACATCCACATAAACTATATATAAATAACAAAAAAGCAGGCTTAAAAGAATGGGCCTGTGATTATATTGGATTTGTGATTATATGAACTTTATTCAGCCTTTCATTAAATTTCATTTTCTACTTTCATATACTAATACTTAGTTTGCTAATTTGACTTTTTATATGACCAACTACCAAAGTGAGCCAAAGGCTACTTAAATTTAAAAATGACAAGTATCCTCATTTACACCCGTTCAAAATATGTGTATTTAAAGATTTTTAAAAGCTGGGAAAGAGTCATCTGTTTGATTTGATAGCCTCAGTTTGCCACCAAATGAGTCAAGGAAAACCATAGGTAATAATTGCAAATTATCTCTATGAAGAATACCAACAGTTTTTATCTCACTCAAATATATTCTGAGATCTTAAATTTATGTGTATAGGATACAATCTTAGATTGCGGGGAACACACATCACATAACTTTTCTAGACATTCATATGCACACATGCCCAAATCTTATATAAATTCATAAAATCTTCTCCATAGTGATTATTATAATTTATTATAGTCTGTAGATGTATAAAGATGCATTGTTTTCTAGTGAATCAGTCTATCGAACCATGTAGTTTGATATCAGCTATATCCATCTTTGCCATTAACAGAGGATTCGTTTTGAGGGTAAACTAGTACTTGCTTGTCCCACCATCTAGTAAAAAGCTCACTGTTCAGAAATATGTCAGTAATCACAACTAAAATTATCTTAAAAACTAAACTGCAATTTTGGAGTTTCTTCATTCCTTCTGTATTTGATTGGCTGGCTACATATCAAGAAACAACCAAAGATTTACAAAAATATGTGTCAATAATCTCAACTGAAATTATCTTAGAACCTAAATTTCAATTTTGAAGTTCCTTAATTCCTGCCCTATTTGATTGGCTGGCTACAAGAAACAAGCAAAACCGTAGACATGTAAATGCAATTTTAGTAAATCAGCATCAGCAAAAGGAGAAAGAAGGTCCTTTCGGGAAACAAAAACTGAAATCAACTCTTGCCTTCCCTGTTCAAATCATGGTCTCAAAATTTATTAATTCTCCCTTGAGCGAAAGCCAAGCTCAAAGTGCCTGCGATGTTTACTTAGAGCGCGGTTGGCGGCGGAGCTGTCAGAGGGAAGAGTTCTAATCCCCATCAGTCAAAGGACCCTGAATAGAATCGAAGAGGGGTGTGTGTGTGTGTGTGTGTGTGTGTGAAAAGATAAAAAACGAAACTCAGCGGTGCGTTAACCACAGCAGCACCCCCGCCCCCCAAGTGGCTGCCCTCTCGGGACACGTCGTTTCTTCCTCTAAAACACAAATAGGCTCTTTATTTTGCCAGCAATCCCCTTGAACGCTGGCAGCTCCAGTCCCATTGACTTCCAACTATCAGCATCCTCGTCCCAGGCAAAAGCTTTGGAAGAAGGGCGGCCCTCCGCTTCGTGCTCGAAAACTCTCCTGCCGACCCAACCTCGGGCTCAGCAGGATGTTTCGCTCACCTCCGGAGGAAGGTAGGGCGGGTTGTTGGCCTTGCCACCTCGGTATCTCCCGTTCTTCTTCTTCCCCTTGGAAGAACCACCGCCGCTGCCTCCGCCGCGGCCTCGCAGGGCACCCCCATTGCCCACGGGCCGGCAGCAGCCCCCAAACAGCTCGGACACCCGCGAGTCCATCCTGGCGCCAGCCGGCAGGACCTCCGCCTCTGCGGATGCCTCTCAGCCCGGGACTGGGCTTTTGACGGCTACCTTCCACTCTGGCGCTTGGCGTCAGAAAGAAGCGCAGGGTACCACGGGAAACAGGGCCCCAGCGGCAACACAATTGGACTACAACTTCCAGCGTCCTCTTTCCCGTGGAAGGCAGCGCTTTTCGGACAAATGCGGAGGCGAATAGGACGGGTGCCAGAGCCTTCTCTGATCACTTTGCAGAACGAAAGGCCAGCTAATTTGTGCTGGCAAACCAACGGGGAGCCTGGTAGCATTGCAAATTGCCTTAAAAGGCATACGCTTCCGTGCCACAAGGCTCCTGTTTTTTTTTTTTTGCTTTGTTTCCAATTATTTCAGCTCTTTGAACAGAACGCAAGGACTGCAACATCAAGCAATCTCGGGAGCGATTAAATTAATTTCGGATTTTGTGTGTGTAGCGCCTCGTATAAAAAACATCCCAATAAAATACTTCTGTCTGCTTCAGCTTTATTGTTGTATGCTTTACCGTAGGAGCAGCATCCTAAGATATCCTTCTACTTTGAAGTTCTAAGAAATGTGCGATTTATTATATTAATAAAACTATTTTCCACACAGAATTAGGTCACAATTTAAATTAAAACTATGTTTTGTGTTGTATCCTAAAAATGCAAGATTCGTTTCCTGCATCTGAATTCTAATCCTGAATTCAATTTTTTAAAATACTAATTGTCACAAGAAAGAAGAAAATGTTATTACATTTTAAATAGCAGACATATACATACCTGTAAATTCACGTCTTATATCAACTATATATGTTGAATTATTAGAGAGGGTCAGTTATCACACATATTTCAAATGACTCGCTTTATCATTTTGTTTAATTGATTCCTATTAAAATATCTCCATCACAAAAGCAGTTGTTGTTGACTTTCAACAAATAAGTAATTTTACATAATTTAAATAGCAAGGGGGGGAAACCTTAATTTTTCCAATACACTTTCCAGTGGAATAATGTTTTCCATTGTATATTCTTTGTTTTGTATTTTACCCCATGTTCCATTTTATTGAAATATTTGACTGTGCCATATAAATGAGTTTCAATTGCCTTGATAGCTAGCAGTAATACATTATAAACAGTACAACAGCATATTTTTACATTTATGGACAGCAATAACATTTCAGTCACAAACTAATATATCCATAAAGTTCAGATTTAATTTCCCAGTTTAAACAAAACAAAGCACATGTTTTAGCCTAGGAGTTGTTTAGTTACAAAAGCAGCTGAATGATAGGTTCTTTCATGTGGTCAGAACAGACGCTTGTCCCACTTCAGTTAGTGAACTATTTTACTTACAAATATAGTCACAGCCTTATGTAACACCCTCAATATGAGATTGCTGTTACTGGTAGGTATTGACAACATGTTGCATAAGTTGGAATGAATTGCCCCTTGTAGGAAATACATTGCATCAGATTCAGCTGACTATATACAAAAGACTGCATGATTAATGTATTATGACAATGATGTAGAAATACTGAAAGCATTACTCATAGATTGCCAGTGCAACTCAAGTTCAACTGCTACCTGGGTTTTCAGTTGCAATCACACCATCCTTTTAAAAATGCACAATGCTTTATAAAATTTCTCTTTTTTCTCAGAACTTGTCATCATAACGAAGTGATGGGAAGAATGTTCCAAGATTCTCCTATCCCGAAATATTTTAAAATAACGAATAACGGTATAACTCTCAAAATATTTCTCACACACAATGGTCTCAAGTAGCTGTTAAAAAGTTATATACATACAATGATTAACTTTCATTTGGGCAAAGCTATCCCATTTTATCTTTTAAAACGGGGAAGTTGAATTAAGTGGGGACATACAACGGAGGCAAATTCGCTTTTTATATTTGCCTGGAAACGGGGGAAGTCAGGTCATGTTACTTTCGGCAAATATTTGAAGATCTAAACTTAGCAACGAAGGAACAGTTCCACGACTAAGTTCCGCTTTTGAGCCACCGCCAAAGTTTAAAAGTTTGTTTGGGGGCGGGGATAACCAAGACAGTTCTTTTAAGGATCATGCAAATAGCTGCCCTTAGACCCATGTTGGATCCCCCGCGTAGCATCTATATTTTAATCATACTATAAAGTCAGACATCAAGAGAAGGCGGGCAAATGAGGCTGGCCAGCTTGACCATTTCAGAAAAAGTCGCGGAAACATACAATTTATCTAGCCCCGGGCTCTCCAATTTTGGCAACTTTTAAGACTTGTGGACTGCAACTCCCAGAATTCCTCGGCCAGCTTTGCTGAAGTCGAAGTCCAGAAGTCTTAAAATTGCCAAGATTGGAAACCCTTGAATTCTAGCCCATACAGGCAAGGGCGCACAACTTACCCGAGACAAAGATGGCGCCGGGAGACTCGGCCCTCGCTCCAATGACGTACGGGAGATATTCCCACGACGCTCCGTGAAGGCGGCCATTCAAAGCTGGCTGATGAATTCTAACAGTTGAAGTCCGCAAGTCTTAATGTGGCCAAAATTGGAAACCCCTGATTTCTAGCCCATACAGGCAAAACGGCGCTCAACTTACCCTAGACAAAGATGGCGCCGGGAGACTCGGCCCGCGCTCCAATGACGTACGGGCGATATTCCCATGATGCTCCGTGAAGGCGGCCATTCAAACCGGAGTAAAGGGAAAGGCAGAGAAAATGGCTGCGCCGATAGCCACGCAACGAGAAGGTGAGGTTGCAGCGCCACCCGGGCGCGGTTTCCCCCTTGTTCCTTTCGAGCCGTTATGCGGGGGTGGGGCTCTTCTCCTTGGACAAGTCGTCTTCTTTCTTCTCCTCGGGGCTTTTTCTCTAGTTCTCGGGCAAGCAAGATGAGCAACCGCACACCAGGGTTACCTCCTCCTCCTCCTCTTCTCGTTCTCTCCCTCTTGCAGCCGCCGACCTGCTGAAGGCCGCCGAGACAAGCCTAGAGCTCGGCGAGGCCGCCACCCTATCTGTGACTCTGACGACCCAGCCGGCGGCTCCGGCTCCTGGAGGTGCCTTCTCGTTGTCAGTCGTCTTCCCGGGCTCCGTCACCCGCGAGGGATGTTCCCGTTTCATTTGCGAGCTTTTAAAGCACGTCCTGTACCAGAGGCAGCAGCTGCCTTTGCCTTACGAGCAGCTCGCTTGCTTCTGCCGGATGCAGCTGCCGAAGCCGGCTAGCCAGGTGAGACGGCGGGGGCGGTGAACGGTGGCTGCTGCTGCTGCCTTTGCGTGGATGGAAGGACCGGCCGCTCCTTGCTCCACTGGCTTTTGCTTGAGACCAAAAGGAAACCGACATTGGGCCTGAATAATGGTTTGTATAACGGGGGAGTCTACAAGTAGACCTCGACTTACAACAGTTCCTTTAATGACTGAAGTTGGCACTGAAAAAAGTGACTTATGACCATTTTTCACACTTATGACCGTAACAGCATCCCCAGGGTCATGTGATTTACATTCAGATGCTTGACATATGATTCACATTTATGACAGTTGTGGTGTTCCCAGGATCATGCAATCTCTCTTTTGCGATCTTCTGATAAGCAGAGTCAATGGGGAACCACATTCACTTAACAACCATATAGCTAAGTTAACAACCACAGTGATTTGCTTAACAGTGGTGCGGTGGCCTAGAGATGGAGCTCTTGCCTCACAACCAGGAGGCTGTGACTTCGATCCTAGGTAGAGGCAGATAGTTCTCTTGGGCACAATGAGAATATATCTGCTGAATATAGCTCCATGTTGGTGACAGGAAAGGCATCCAGCCAGTAAACAGCTCCATTCAGTCGCCCAGACTCCACCCTGTAAGGGATTATGGGGTTGTTAAAAGATGATGATGATGATGATGAGTGATTCGCTTAACACATGCTGGAAGAAAATTCGTTATGCTCATAAGCATATATTGTTATGCTTATGCTCATAAGTTGAGCACCATCTCTATTCTCTGCTGCTTTTCCCCTCATAGAAAAATAAATTCTTGGACGCTAACATAAACTGGTGGTAGGAAGGTTAAAATTTTGAATTTTAAAAATGTGAAAGCAAGAAGGGAGATGTTTGCATGCAGAATCTAGCCAACACTGCCTGTTCTTATGAAAAAGTTTTACGCCTTAAAAAAGACTTCCAAAGCTGAGCCCATGCAAAAATATCAGGGAGTGCCCTGTTCCATAAGGTAGGTGCTGCAGTTGAGAGGACATGCTTATATCATCCCAGTAAATGGTACTTTTTAAGAGGGGGCCTTGAAGCATAACCACATTGTAATATTTATGGAATGAACAGAGGACACAGGTGCTATTCAATTTACGACCACACCTGAGCCCAAAATTTCTGTAGCTAAGTGAGGTGTTTGTTACCTGAGTTTTGCCCCATTTTACTGCCTTCCCACAGTTGTTAAGCGAATCACTGCAGTAGTTAAGTTAGTAGCACAGTTGTTAAGTGAATATGGCTTCCCCATTGACTTTGCTTGTCAGAAGGTCACAAAAAAGTGATCATATGATCTGGGGACACTGCATCCATCATAAATATGACTCAGCTGCCAAGCACCTGAAGTTTAATCACATGACCATGGGGATGCTGTAACGGTTGTAAGTGTGAAAAACGGTGATAAGTGTCTTTTTTTAGCGCTGAATAGTCATTAAGTGAACTGTTGTAAGTTGAGGTCTACCTGTATTGGGGAGAGCCATTCCTACAAAAAAACCAGCCTGAAGTATGTTCCTGGAAGTCCATTGGAAGCTAGTGCAGATGTTATATTTAGTAGAGCTGTTACATAAAGCTGTGGCATGTCAATAATTACTGACATGGATCAGTTGTAACATGAATGATTTTCAAGAGTAGCTCTATGTATATGCATTATGAGAAACCAAATGTAAGGTGGTTAAAGTATAAATGTTAGTAAGAAGGCTTTCTACTACTATTTTCCCTGCTATCTAGGAAGGGATCCAATTGCTGCAAATGATAGAGCTGTAGAAGGGCCTTCCTAGCTATGATAGCCACCTGGTTTTTGAGGAAGAGCCAGGAGTCTAGGAGGATGCCCATATTGTATGCCATCTTGGTCTGC